TTAATATATGATTTTTGTTTTGTATTTATACTTTTTCAAACAGACTTATGTTCTTGGAGAATTTTTATTATTCAACGTATCATTGAATTATATACCCATTTAAAACTTTTTTCATCAATTTTTACACGTAATGGTATCTTATCTTTTTCTTTATAATTTATAATAAATTTGATATTAAAAATTAACATATATAGAATCGTGTTTATACCCGTACATCAGTCATCTAGTTTACTATTAAATAACTAATCATTTTTGACATTCTAAATATACTATATAATCCCAAAAAAATCTGATAGATTGTACATATTCCACATTATTATAATTCGCTACATCAAATAACAAACAACTGAAAAAATCGTTTTTCATTATTATGATAAATTGAAAAGTCACATATATTCCCTTTAAATTTTTGTGGCCAATGTTCCAACTCTCCAAGTCAGAAGCAAACATGTGAGAATGGGTTACTTTGCACATTGTTTTTACCTTACAAAACAAGGACAAGGGATTTTCGTGGAAAATATACTACAATTTAATTTCTTGGAATGTACATATAGTTGACCTTAATAAAAAAGTTTAAAAAATTAATAATATAGTTATTTTGTGATGAAGATATCCGAAACATTTGTCTCATCTAAAAGAAAAAACATAAGATACTTTTTAATACTCTAGTTATTTTGTGATGAAATGATACCCACTTTTCTATTATATAATTATATTTAAGATTTGAAAGAGAAAAAGCTAAAATATAGATACTTTTAAAAATGTTCAATATATTTTTCACCAAAAACTAAATGTTTATATTGAATTGAAATCGCTTTTAGTTTCTAAGAAAAAAACAAGGTTCTATTGAATTGAATTTCGCTTTTAGTTTTACCTGGACTAATATTTGGTACAAAACTCGAATTTTCTTTTTGGGTTTTGAATTTCTAGGTTAGAGTTGGTGAAAAATGAAAACCATATTATATTTATTTATGTTTATGAATTTAAGAAAGCTTATCATGGCAAACTGGTTGTGTCTTCCGGAGTTTTAGTAGAGATTCTGGGTTCGAAAGCCCTCCATGCGTAATTTTGTTCTTTCTAAAATTCGCAAAACGACGTAATTTTGATGGTAAATACAGTCATATACAAAATTAAAAACATATATATGGTTAAGGGTTATATTGCGGGTTTTCGTAGAGTTTAATGCATTGACTTTTATTTTTCTAAGTTGAAGGATAATCTTGCAAAACAAAATTTATGGAGGGTTACTTTGCAGGTTTTCATAGAGTTGAATGTATTAATTTGCATTTTTCTAAGTTGAAGAGTAATCTTGAAAAAAAAATTATCGTGGAGAGTTATTTTGCAGAAAAACCTATTTAAGGGAAGAATAAACCTCGGTCATTAATTAACATTTTTTGTCTTTTTCATTGTTCTTTGTTTGACCTTACGGTAGATTAAAAGAATGACTATATGAAATATCACATGCTAGAAAATAATTCAATAATACATCACCAAATAATAAGAAAATAAAAAGACTAAATACGAGATAGGAAGCCAAGTCATTTGCATATAAATAAGAGTCCTCTGGTTCTCCCTTTGTCATCATCAACTCATCACCGTCTTCAAATGGCCCAAAACGATCTCAATTCCGATGGCAGTAATGGTGAGTTTCGCTCGGCTGATAAAGAAACGGAAAAAACCGTTGTTGACAACAAATCTTCCCAGCAAAAGACAGATAATGACGACAACGTCACTACCGAAACAGGTTTTAATCTTCAAACATTTTGGATTCCCAGCAA